CAAAGCAGTTTGCGCAGCTCCATTAATCATGCCAACTTCCACCTAAGTAAGTGAGCGAGAACAGAAAAGGTGAAAACACTAGAACTCTGAGATAACAGCCAGGGGACAAGAGTAGTAACAGGTATTTGCATAGCAGGCTACATTTTTAAAAATCACTTTAACATTTGCTCTTCCCACTTGAGGAAATTCTCGCTTACATTCCAATTTTCAGATGAAAATTTCAGGCACACTGAAGTGAAATAATTGACTCAAAGTCACACAGCTAGAAAATTTCAGGGTCAGGACCCAAATCCCAGTCATTTCGCTCCAAACTGTTTTTAAACTACATGATACTACCTATCACGATACTACATGATACTAATGAGTACTGAGGTCTAACCTTCTGAAGCTGCAAAACTTTTAAGGATCTAATTGTTGGGGAGGAAGATAATTTGAATCTGTTGTTCAAATGGAACACCTCTCCAAAGGCAGGCAGTGCATAGAGGATTAAGCACCACCTCTCCCTGGGGCCAGACTTGCCCAACTCTGGACCATACATGTAGATGGATCCAGAATTACACAAGACATGGGTAACCCCCATCTAAGAAACTTGCAGAAATACTACTCAACAGCCAAGTCTATTGGATCACAGCCATCTTTCTCCACCTCAAATGCTCTGTGGAGACTTCCCTATTACACATGGCATGGCATGCCCAGTTGGTGGGTCACATGAATCCTCTTTGCCATATGCAATTGGCACTCAGCATCCACAAGGTATTGGTTCCAGGAACCCCCACCTTCCCACAGATACCAAAATCCACGCATGCTCAAGTTTTATGTACAATGGGTTAGTCCAGTTGGCCTCCACAGGCCATCCATGGTTGGCTGAATCAGTGGATGTCAAACCCATGGATACAGAGTGCCGACTGTATACTTCTCCCGTCAGACCAGATTTCCTCCTCTTGAAACTTCCCAGGGATATTGTGAACTTTAAAGAATGTTGGTAAAGCATAAAATCTGGGGTTGGGTACATAATATAGACTCAAGAAACCAACACCCATCTACCCCCATCGCCTCAGAGTGACCTTCCCTTCCCAGCAAGGACAAGTGGCTGAAGATCACTGTGAGGCATATGAAGGAGAACACTGAACTCTAAAGAATTTAAGAGTATTAAATCAACATTTAAAATCTTTACTCATCCTCCACTGTTCCTGAAGTGTGCTTCGTGCTTCTGCCTCTCCACACCTGTTTTGTTGGTCTACACTTCAATGCTCTGTGCCTTTATATGCACCATTTATTCAGCGAGACTGAACGTGCTCTGAGGGAAATGGCCCTGCCCTCCGTCTCGTTTTGCAGCCCTGTGACAGTGGGCTTACACCTCTCTATCCAGGGAATACTCAATGGGTAAGCACTGACTTGGTCAGAATTGGGCCCTCGAGTTCTCTAAGGGGATCCTGATAACACAATGCCACATTAAGCCCAGGAGTTTCAGAGCCCACATACTCCATCAATGTCAACAGCCCAGTTGGTGCTGTTCAGAAGGGCCAAGAAATACAAACTCTTGACAATTCCATGGTTTGCCTGTATATGTGCCTTCACTCTTTTTTCTATGAGACCCATGAGACCCATGGTCAGGGGATAACTCGGACTAGCCATTCTTCCCTTCATGCAGATTCCTTCCATGCAAGGAGCCTGCTTGCAGCACTTGAAGGCCCCCAGAAGTAACTAGAGCTGACCCAACAGTACCACTTCTCTCAGACTATGACCTCCCTCCAGCCTCTCCCTGGACAGAGACCAAGGTGACCCCTGCTCTTGTCTCACTTATCTCCTTAGACCATCCAGCACAGCCTCCAAGTCTTCAATCAATATGCCCGAGGTGCTGCTCATCTGATGAGGTTATTAACTCACCATCGCAAGCGTCCTGAGGATCTGAGAGTTGAGCTAAGAGCTGATTGGGAATCCCAGTAAGGAGAGCTGGCGCTTCAGCTTGGGAGACACGGAACACAAACAACAATAAGAGCACGCACTATTCAAAACATCGGAGGGTTTACTCTACACGGAGCATCACCTCATATAACCCTCACAGCAACCCTGTGCTACGCATCCCCATTCTACGTGCAAGGAAACAGAGACACAAAGAAACCCAGAAAAGTCCGTGTGCTTTGTCACTACACCGGACGGCACACACCCTGGAGTCCCACAGACAGGAATCAAAGCCAGCTCCCCAGCACCCCAAGCGTGACTGTGGCTGACGCACATAACTTTTCCAGCCTGAGTTTTCTCCTTCAATATTTAAAGTCCCTGGCACTGCCACTCTTCTCACCTTCACGAATCATGGAACTCCTCTTATTATATCCTCCCTACCTCAGGAACCCAGAGGTTCCCACCTAGATTCAGGATGGTCTAGAACTTCAAGTCCTGAGTTGGGCAACCTGAATTCCCATCCTCTATCTGACCTCAGGCCGCAAGTCATTCAATCTTTCGATTTCATCATTTGTCAAAGGAAAATGTCAACACTGGCCCAATCTATTTTAGTGGGTAGTGTTCAAGGTGAGATAAAAGGAAAGGTGTAAAAGTTCCCTGAAAGGTTTCAAGCACTTCTCCAAGTTAAGAAACCATCACAGCAATGGATTCAGTCTGAGAAACTGTTGCACAAAATAACTACTATCGTCCAAAACCTCAAAGTGAATGGGGAAACTGAGTCCAAGATACAGAAACTGACCCCAGATTACTCCTATTTTTATGTGGGTAGAGTCTTGGACTGGAGCTTGAGGGCTCTGTGTGCTGGTTCTAACTCGGCCACTGCTCTGGACAAGCCACTGGACTCCACTGTGAAATGAGGATATGATGCTTGCCTTCCCCAAGCCCAGTTGTTAGGGTGTGGGCAGGATACAAAAACACTTCGAACACTTGAGACAAGAAAACCTCTAGGTAGTCAATTATATGCATTTTTTTAAATGTGATGTCAGCCTTTTTTTTTCCTCCCACTCACTTTCCCTTGTCACAATCTAAATTTTATCCAGATGTGAACATGAAGAGGCCTGTCTTTGTTCTCTGCCTCTGTGCATACCCTTTGGTTTTCCTTTGTGCCTCAAAAGGTTTCAGTGCTATTCTTTAAGACACATGTCATGAAGGGGGGGACAGGGTTGGAGAGGGGTGCAGCGATAGAAAAGGGGAGTCAGAGAAAAGAGTTACAGAATGCTCCAGAATGCGTGTCTTCTCTCTCTAAACACAGAGTCAAGACAGTGAAAGGGCCCCTGACTCCAGAAAAATGCCCTCTGCCATACAAAGCCTCCCAAGGCAGCGCTGTCCCAGAGCCCAGAGTGCATGCACGCACACACACGCGCACGCACACGCACACACACACACACACACTTTCATGGAGAGCTGTGCTCTCCCATCCCAGAAAGGATTTGTTGTTTCAATTAAACCCATCAAGATCTACACCACATGTTAGGGAAGAAAGGAATAACCAAAACAAGACTGAATTACTTTGGCTATTTCCTTGGGGATCAACCTATATCAAATAATCCACCATCTATGCATCGGAGAAGCTTTTACTTATGAAAAACAGAGGCAGGTGCAGAACTGCAGCAATGGTACTAAATCAAAGCCCGGGGAGCAGAAGGAAGTGGATTTAGATGCATCCACTTAGCTCCTCTACTCATGTCTAAGTCACAGTATGGGGAGCAGATCACAGCCCTGGTGGGGTCTGGCCTCTTCGTCCTCGTCTCCCCTGAGGTCCCTTCCCTCCCACTTTGCTCACTGCTTCAGCTGCCCAGTAAGAACAGATGGACAGAAGTTAAAAGAGCAAGGTCAGCCCATCAGCTAAGTCTTATTTCACATGCTGCCCCACCTCTATCATTCCTTTCTGGGACATAAAGATGGAGAATGAAGGGCAGAGGTGCTAATACATTTGATTTCGTATGAAGCTATGGTATTTTCATTTACATCCCCTGAATAGCTGGCCAGTCTGATTTACACATTGATAATATGTGATGCTTTGTATTCCAGCAAATATTTAATCCCTGACTGATCAATAATCCTCGCCTGGCTGTTCTTTTTTGAAAAGAAATAAATCCCCTTTTTACTCTTAAAATTCTTGAATAAAATTAAACTGCTTTAGCCCAGGATGCACTGTTCCTACGTGAAGCCATGTGGTTTCATAACCTCAGTCCTCAGATGTTTTAAAGGGGCCGCCTTTGCTAACTTGCTATTTCTGAGATCCTAACATCTCTCTAACCTGAGTTTTCTGTGTTATCCATTGACAGTATAAAGACAGCACTTTAAAGTCTGATCTACTTTTTGAATTAAAAGCTAAACTTATTCACCTAAACTAAATCAGTGAGTATACAGCAGGCAATATTTTTGCATTCACTGCTTATTTTCACCCAGAAGGTCTTGATTTAATTCCTTCATTACAAACCTTGTTTCTGCCTTTCTAAATACTGTTTCCCTCCAAAACTACATTGAAAAAAAAAAAAAACAAAAAAAAAACTCCACTCCTACACAGATTCTAAAATAAAATCTGTACCCCTTTCCCCTTTTCTCAGAGTCAGAGTTGAACATTGAGAAAAATGCACATTAAACATAGAAAGCGATGGCTCTCCTCTCTATAAGGAGCTCCCAGTGCAGCCTCAAAGCCCACCAAAAGTTCCAAAAACAACAGCAATGAAAAAACAAACTCTCTTTCATCTTTGGCAGCAACAAAAGCAATAACTTTCACCAAACCGACCCACGCCAAGAATTAATATAACACAGAACACATCCACATTCAGACCATTATGGCTACAACAGCTCACCACAATATTTGTTTGAAAAACACATAATTTGTGGTAGAGAGAGAGAACCTCTAATACAAAAAGAGGTTCTTTCAAATGCAAATTAACCAAAAGACATATTTTCCCTGTGTTTGGAAAATCACTCCAACATATGAAAAACATACTTTCTGTGTGGAAAAAAATTTTTTTGATGTCCACCCACTTAGTTGAAAAGGCAATTAAATTTGCTGTAGATTTTACCTTAACAGTTGAGAAAAGTTAACTCCTGGCTCCAGAAGTCCTTAAGGACTTTATTAGCATTCACAGACCTAAGTAGTCTTCTGTTCCCAGGTAGCAAAGTTTCTTTTCTTCTCCACTGAAATGCTCGTGTGAACATTGAAGGACATTGTATTACTGAACTGATCGGAAAAGGATATTGTTTCCAATCTTCTGGCAGGAAGAAATGAGAGGGAAAAGAAAGAGAAAGAAAGAGAGAAAGAAAGAAAGGGAAGAAAGAGAGAGAAAAGCAGGGCAAAATGCAGTCTAATCGAGCATTCTTCCTCGTGGAAAAAAAAAAAAAAGTAAATCCAGTATTCTGGAACGGGTTCAAACATAGCTTGACAGGCTACAGGAGAATTTACACTGAGCATGCTTAGCCCTGCACGGCTTGCATGAGACACTCTTAATGAATATTACTTCCTTCCCACTGGCTATTCCTGCTGGAAGTCCACACCCACTCCGCTTTCAGAAGTCAGGAATTTAGCTCCAGCCAAAGTCCAGAAAACATGCTTATGCAGAGACAAGGCCTCACCGATCCATAAACTTTCAGGTTGTGACCTGCGGGTCAGTTTGACAAATAGAACACGGGGGTGAATTTTTTTTCTGCCCTTAGTTGTGTTCCCAGCTTTGTGCCTATCCTAAACTGCAGTTCCCCTGGAGCAAAGAAAACTCGCTTTTTCCCTAAAGAACACCATGTCCTAAATGCCAGTTTAAAGGCCTTTCCGGATCAAGCTTCCAAACCCAGATCAGAATAAGGGTCATCTACATATTAGAACACACCATGAGGATCCTTAGTTTCTGGCTAAAAAATTTTTTTCTAATTTCTACCCCAAATGTATCCTTTCTGATAATTTACATGTTATCTCTCTCTGAAATGCTACATGCCAGTAGACAGTCTGAAAATATGTTCAAAATTCAGATTTAATCTGCTGTGCTGTCGAGGTCACACCAAAAAAAAAGATTTTTCAAACAATGCTTTCCCTTTCTTTAAGTCCCTCTGTCATGTTTCATGACGGGAGGACTGACATTCTGGAAATTTAAAAATAGACTATTTCTCTGACAGTCTGAGAAGGCAGGATTCTTATCCTGCAAATGAAAAGGGCTGGGGTAAAAAGAGATGGAGGAAAGGTAGACAGAGAGGGCCTAACACAGACAGCATAGTAATGAAAGGGCATTTTATAATTAAAATTAATAATAACAAAATGTCTTTTGTTTTCCTTCTGATATTTTCAGGATACCATTTATAAGTTTCTGTTCTTTATCAAATTACAAATTATAAATATTATTAAATACTCATTTGGAGTTAAAGTACTTACTTGCCTAGACACACACGCACCAATCTGTGTTTGAAAAGAAATGACGTCACAGAGGATGAAAAAAATAGAAATTCTCTAAGTGTACAGAGGAATATGGTGCGTCCAGCCTCTAATACAAAGCCTGCCTAGCCAGCATTGATTCCTTGGATTAATAAAAGGGGTTTCTGTGTACCTTATGAGTAAATCCATTGCTTCTCCACACCTGTAACATTTTCAGCAGCCACTGCTGAGCTGCTAGGACACATTTCCCTTACCGAAGATCCTTGCAGCATAAAATATTTCCTTGCCTGCTGTTGAATAAATAAAATTTCCTCAGACATATTTTCCTTCCTGTAATTATGAGGTCTGGGGTAAGTTTAGACATGGGGGGGGCGTGTTTTGTTTGCTTCAGGCTTTGCCTAAGGGAAGAATAAGATTTAGTTCCCTATTCCAAGTGTTTATTTGTCCTGTTAACAGAGCAAACTAAGTTTCCAGCAGTTAGATGAACCTCAGGACAAATAGAATTTCGAACAGCGAAATAATCTCACAGCCTGCCATAAAGTAAAATAGGAAGGACGTTTATTCATTTGATCTGAAGAGATGGCCTAGAGATCAGAGAAGCCCCAGGACACAGAGGGGAGGGACCCTCTATCAAGGCTGGTGCGTTGACCTGTAGACAGCCTGGCCTCCCTGCCATCACGGAACAGTGGATTTGTTTGTTTGTCTTCTCCCATGAGGTTGAGCACTCATCCTGAATCTAAGGGTGTGTTGACGGAAACAGTCATTGTCTTTTCCAGCCTGAATTTTAAGACGCCTCTATGCGAAGCTAAGAGGGTCTTTACGGTGACAGTACACTCATCCATTCAATTAACAAATATTTACTGAGCCTCTACTCTGACACTCATCTGGGCCCTAGAAATTGGGTAGTGACTGAGATGGACATGGTTCCTATCCTCAGGGAGCTTACATTCTGGTGACAATGTAAATAAATAAATATGTAAAAATGAATAAACAGTGAATGTAAGTGAAAGGGAGGAAATAGAAGGGAAATGATGAGAGAGAATAAGTTACGGAAACCATGGTGTGTGTGGGTGTGTATGGGTGGGTGTGTCCGGGGCTCGGAGCCACAGAATCAGGAAAATGGGAGGCATATTTGGGAAACTATTTATTAGCCAATCCAATATGTGTTTAAAGAGAATGGTGGTACCTTTAGCAGAAATCAGGAAAGAAAATCATGTCTAACATATGGTAAGCTCAAACATTTACTGGACTGAGTATGTTGAGTGTAAGGGTGATAAGGATATCCAACCTACACTATTATTTTAGTCAGGAATTATAGGTAACTGTTAATAGGAACCTGATTATAGTCTCTTAAGTACTTTTCTCTCATTTAAAAGAAATTCAGAGGTTGATAGTCCAAAACTTGGCCACCCAAGTCTTTCTATCTTTTTGGTCTAACATCTTTAATGCACACCGTCCATCCTCAGGTTTGCTTTATAGTCCAATATGGCGGCTGAACTCCAACCCTCACATCTGCTTTCCAGAAGTTAGAAAGAAGCAAGGGTGAAGTAAAAAGTAAAAATGACTGCTGTATTAGTCTTCTATTGCTGCTGTAACAAATTACCTCAAACTTAGTAGCTTAAAATATATATATATATATATATATATATATTACCTTACAGTTTTACAGGTTAAAAATCTGACCTGGGTCTCACTGGGGTGCGATCAAGGTGTCAGCAGGGCAGCATTTCCTTCTGGAGCCTACAGGAGAGAATCTATTTCCTTCTCTTTTCCATCTTCTGGAGGCCACAGCATTCCTTGGCTTCGGGCCCCTTCCTCTAGCGGGCTGAGTCCTTCTTATGTTGCGTTACTTTGAACTCTTCCCCCTCTTTCACTTATACTTATCCATGTAATGACATTGGGCCGACCTGGATAATCTAGGATCCATCTGATTAACCACCTTAATTCTATCTGCAACTTTAATCCTTCTTCTCCATGTAAGTTAACATATTCACAGGTACCGGGGATTAGGACATGGTCATCTTTGGGGGGCATTAGTCAGCTTTCCACACTTGCCTGCAGCTGACTTAACTACCTCAACATGGACTTCTCAAAAGCTGTATCCAGTGCCTTTCTCCTACATTCAATGGCCCCTTCTATCTGTAAAGAAGGCTACACACAACACTACATTTGACAATATAGAGGCCTTTCCTATGGAATAAGGGAGAATAGAATTGGATAGGCAACTGGCAGTCTCTGACACAAATATCTAGCATGTGAAGCCAGGACTAACGCTGGATTATTGCAAAAGCATCTTAATTGGCTGCCCTTGTTCTAGACTATATGTGTGTCTAAGCCACTGCAAGTTTAAGCTTTCTAAATCACATATGATTAAGACAAATTGGTGTTTTTAAATCTCTATCACTTACCTATTTTCTATGGGACACAAGCCAAATTCCTCAGCTGGATGCTTAGGGCCTTTCACATGCTAGCCCTTAATTATCTTTTCAGACTAATTTCTACCACTTGCTCTAACTCCAATAATCCTTCAACCCCTCAGGAACCTATAATTTGTTGATCCTGCCACTCTTTCACTATCCTCACCCCAACTTTTCTCCTGACGAAACTTAAAGGCATGGGCAACCATCAGTTATCTTTTATGCACACCCTCGGTTCTCCTGATCCCCTACTCATCAAGCAGAGGGGATGCTGTGGTGGCCGGGAAGAGTCCTTCAGTCCCGAAGGCCCCCAGTACAATACCCAAGCCAGGGGCATTTGCTGCTGAGGGCTCACAGCTGAGTCTCTCCCTGAGACCTGTCCTTAGCCAATGGGAGCCACTTCACCAAGGTTATGCCCCACCCCTGGAGACATCCCACATCCACTGATTGGTCCCTGAGGGGGATATAAGAGCTAAGCCCCCTTGGCTTCATTTGGAACAGTGCTGACAGTTCTACTGCAATAGCACCACACTCCTACCTCCCCTCTGCCCAATCTGCTACCCTCACTCCTTTACAGGTATTTCTCACAACAACAACCCCCAAAGCTTCCTACATGCAAATCTCTACCTCAGAGTGTGTTTCAAGAAACTAAAAATAGAGCTACCATATGATCCTGCAATCCCATTCCTGGGCATATATTGGAGAAAAACATGGTTCGAAAGGATACATGTACCCCCAATGTTCATTGCAGCGCTGTTTACAATTGCCAAGACATGGAAGCAACTTAAACGTCCATCGACAGATGAATGGATAAAGATGTGGTACATATGTATGATGGAATATTACTCAGCCATAAAAAAGAATGAAATAATGCCATTTGCAGCAACATGGATGGACTTGGAGATTATCATACTAAGTGAAGTAAGTCAGACAGAGAAAGACAAATACCATATGATACTGCTTATATGAAGAATCTAGAAAAAATTATACGAATGTTCTTATTTACAAAACAGCAACAGACTCACAGACTTAGAGACCAAACTTATGGTTACCAGGGGGAAGGGTTGAGTGGAGGGATAGATTGGGAGTTTGGGATTGACATGTACACACTGCTATGTTTAAAACAGATAACCAACAAGGACCTACTGTACAGCACAGGGAATTCTGCTCAATATTCTGTAATAACCTAAATGGGAAAAGAATTTGAAAAAGGATACATGTATAACTATCATTTTGCGGTATACCTGAAACTAATACAATATTGTTAATCAACTGTACTCTAAAATAAAATTTAAACTAAAAGAAAAAGTAATTCTGACCTGAGACAATTGGTACCATGCGTTCTTGGAAGCAGACTCTAAAATAAGTTTTGGAGCCACATCACACACCAGCTAGCTGGCAATCAGGACTGCATCACCGGCTGTTAAGAGGTAATGAGTAGCTCCTGGCATGCTGTCATGGTACAATTGTTATAACTTCCACCAGTGGTAAACTGGATAAGGATACGCGTGTAATGAAATGCACTAGGAAGGATATCTCAGGAACCTGAAAGACACAGACTATGAAGTTGAATAACTGTTGTTGGGGGCTACTGATGCGTTGAGGAATGACAATGAAAGGCTGTGGGTGATTAATCATCAATTAAAGGTTAAGTGTGAAAGCCAGTATTTAAAGAG